CCTACGTGGTGGATGGATTTGCATACGGCGAGAGATTTCTCGCGAGAGAGCTAACCTAGACCGGAGAACTCTGCGCTGTGAGGGAAAAACGTATGGTAACTGTTGTCCTTGGAGTTTAACCCTACCTCTTTCCGTACAGCAAATTTGTATTTGTAACATCGGCCAATAATGTAACGCTCACTTCTCCTAGTGGCTACACTGAGAACAAAATTTACTAAATTTCGAAAAACATTTGTTTGGATAGTGAAGATATTTGTTTAAATTGAGTAATTATTTTCTAAAATTAAATAAAGGAGTTTTAAATATAAATTCGTTTCTTTAATTTTAGAAAGTAATTACTTAATTTAAACAAATATCTTCACAGTACTATTCAAACGTTTTTTGAAATTTAGTAAATTTTTTTTCTCAGTGTAGATAAGTAAGTTTGCTGATGATTAAACAATTAAAATTACGATTATGAGATGAAAAATCTCTATAAGTTTGGAAACACGGATAAAAATAAGGATATTAAAATGGGTATTTTATAATAATTCTGTTTAGCACTTACATTTACAAGATCGGCATTTATGTCCCTTGATAAAGCAAAGTTTTAAGTTTAAGAATCCATTTTTTGTGTATTGCTGTGCGATGAAGTTTAATGGAGTCAACCGAAATGAAAATGCTCAATTTTACTTTAATCCTTACACTAAGAAAAAAATTTACTAAATTTCAAAAAACGTTTGTTTGAATAGTACTGCGAAGATTTGTTTAAATTAAGTAATTATTTTCTAAAATTAAAAAAACAAATTTATATTTAAAACTTCTTTATTTAATTTTAGAAAATAATTAATTTAAACAAATATCTTTACATTACTATCCAAACAAACGTTTTTTGAAGTTTAGTAAATTTTTTTCTCAGTGTAGTAATATGGAAACAAAATTGTAGAGAAATTTTTTCACAAAGTAAATTGTATAGAAAACTTCAATCTTTTACAGGGAAGAAACTAAAATTTTCTCAGATTTTTCTTGCGTTCGTGGCATTTCTCAAATTGAGAAATGTTTGATAATTATTAGATATTACATTAGATTTTGAAGAATCAACGAGTTTCAACCTTGGCTTGCTTTGTCCTAATTGTCAAGTTCCAATCTTCAATCGTCAATCGTCAATCGGCAATCGCTAGTGTAATTTAGCCTTTATAAGAACGAAATAGACAAAGTGGAAAATTTCTTTTTCAATTTGAGACAACAAACGCAAGAAAAAATCTGAGAAAATTTTACTTTCTTCCGTGTAAAAGATTGAAGTTTTCTATACAATTTACTTTGTGAAAAATTTCTCTACAATTTTGTGTTGCCGTATTACTAAGGGTTAAAGTAAAATTGAGCAATTTAAATTCGATTGCTCATGACTCCGTTAAACTTCATCGCACAGCAATACAGAAAATGGATTCTTAAACTTGAAAGTTCGCTCTATCAAATGGCATAAATGGCGATCGTGTAAATGTATAAGTGCGAAACAGAATTACTCTACTATAAAATATTCATTTTAATATCCTTATTTTTATCTGCGTTTCCAAACTTATGGAGGGTACTGTAGTTGCTAGACTGACGTGATTTCGTGGCTAAACATCGACGAGTTTCAATTTCTACCAGAATAGTAAACTAAAGATATAGCCTATCCGTCCCCTTTTAAGCTCCCTTTGCGTGCAGAGGGTTGAATTTATAATGCGAAGATTGCTAACGCTCCGGGCACTGCCTATTTTATTTGAACATCCTCTCTCTCCCTCTGTGAAAATTTGCTCTCCTATCATTATGTCGTAGCGAGCGATTATCGTCGGGGCATTGTTTAGCGTGCCACGCAAACGGTTGTTTCTTCAGAGAAACCGCGCCTTCGACGAAAGTGCTTCGTTTTTTTTTTTCGTCTTTGTCTTCGCACTCACGAGGGACCATCAGGTGTATCTCGCTTTATTATTCGCATACGCGTCGCAACGTGCGCGATTGCATTTCCATGCATGCGTCGGTTAGCCTCTCGCCTATTATCGCGCGTTTGAATATTTAATATATCGCTCCTCTTTCCTTCTACTTCCTTTTCACACACTAACAAGGAACACTCAAAGAGGCAACTCAAAAAATTCTGAAACTTTGTGTGCAAGCAGAGTAGTTCATCCATAACACAAAACTATTTTTCGTGCGGAATTTTAGTTTTAAGGGATAAAACACCCCTTTGAAAAAAAATCGGTTTTTTTCTTTTGAAGCGAATATCGTCGAAACTATAAGAGATAGAAAAAATTTTCCAAAGTGAAAATTGAATGATTTCAAGAGTACTTTAGAACTATAATACAAAAATTTTTTTAAATTGTTTATTTATTGTGTACCCCCAATCCCACCCCTTTATTTAAAAAAATTTTTTTATTACAATTCTAAAGTACTCTTGAAATCATTCAATTTTCACTTTGGAACATTTTTTTTATCTCTTATAGTTTGGATGATATTCGCTTCAAAAGAAAAAAAAACCGATTTTTTTCAAAGGGGTGTTTCACCTCCTAATTCCGCACGAACAAAAAATAGCTTTGTGTTACGGATGAACTACTCTACTTGCATACAAAGTTTCAGAATTTTTTGAATTTTTGAGTTGCCTAATGTTCCTTGTGAGCTTCACACTGTGAAAGAAAACGCGAACGTCGAAAAGCAAACGATACTCCGTATTTTTCACGCACACACGGCCGTCTCGGCCATCCGGCACTGCAAACGACTCGGTGAAATCATCGTTTTCCGCTAGAAAAAATTCCGACGTTAATTGGTCAATTTTTCTTACTCGAGAGTGTCCTAAAATCACGAGGTAGAAACTGCTGCGCGGAACACGGAGGAAGGGGATTACGCGAATAATGGCTTCCAATAGCGAGTGAATCGTGCCGTAGCTGGCGGTCGGTGTTGGCTTAAATTCTGATATTCTCTTGATTCCTGAGAAAAAGCCACATTGACACAATGGTAGGAGCAGCGAGGACCGCGAACGCGACGCCTCGTAAAAAATCCAGGACGTGCGAATCGGATTGTCCGCATTTAACTGCCGCCGTCGGTCGCAGTTGGCGTATTTGAATTTCGTCTTTCTCTCGAAGGAATTTTTCACACCGCCTCCACTCGTGCCGAATGACGAGTGCCGTTGTCACTCCTTAACGAGCGTCTCTCTCTATCCGTCTACGATTCTTTCTGATATCTTTAATTATATCTATAATTCTGTTCGATCTCTCTCTCTCTCTCTCTCTCTCTCTCTCTCTCTCTTTCTCTCTTGCTCTTTTTCCCATATTTATCTACAAATACAACTTTGTAATTGTATCTATAGTTATCTGTAGTTATGTAGCATCCTCAGCCTTTATCTATAATTATATCTACAGCTGTAATATCCTTAATCGTCGCAAGGACAGGTAATTAATTAAATCTTCAAGTCGACCTATTCTTATCCACCACCGTCGTATCGGCAAAGAGAACCTCACAGTCTTTTATATGACTGTACGAGGATATTATCAGGCATTAATCGATCAACATTTTCTTTAATTAAAATAATCAGCTATTAATAAGCGGAATTAATCGTCGTACATGTAATCACAAATAATTTAATTGACCGATAAAATTATAATTAATTAATTAAGTGATTTTATATATGATGGTTGATGAATTTTGACTATTAATCTACCGATATTATTTTAGAAAAAGAGACACAGAATATCTTAATCGATTAATGCCCAACATTGTTCGAGAGACACGATCGCACGCGCACTGAAAGAAGAAAATGGTTAATCTAAAAAAATTACACTGAGAAAAAAATTTACTAAATTTCAGAAAAAGTTTGTTTGGATGCAACTGTGTGTCAACACATATTTTTGTTTAAATCAAGTAATTATTTTCTAGAATCAAAGAAAGAAATTTATATTTAAAACTTCTTTATTTAATTTTAGAAAATAATGATTTAATTTAAACAAATACGTTCACAGTTGTATCCAAACAAACGTTTTTTGAAATTTAGTAAGTTTTTTTCAGTGTGGTTATTTCTTAACCACATATTTTTGTAGTAAAATAGAAACATACATATACATATAAAATTATCTAGATTAGATAATAGCATTTAATAAAAACTTGAAAATTTGAAGAATTCGCTACAGTAATTTTACTATAAAATTCTCTCTCCGTGT